ATGCCTAAAACCATATGCCTAAAACCACATGCCTAAAACCATATGCCTAAAACCATATGCCTAAAACCACATGCCTAAAACCATATGCCTAAAACAATCAAATGGGGTCACTGTGTGAACACAAGAGCGACGCGCTCACCTGCTCGATATCCTTGTCGGTGAACTTGAAGTTGAATGCTGTCTGGATGTCCTTCTCCTTCTGGTGTATCTCGTTGAGCGTCGGCAGCGTGAGGTCGGCGAGCGTCATCGCCTCCTTCCACTTGAAGAACTCGTTCTCCGTGTAGTCGCTGTTCGAGACAAACTCGAGCCGGAAGACCCTCTCCTGAGAGCCGTGCCTGAGCGAGAACGTGCGCCGAGTGATGAGCAACGTAACTCGCATGGGATAGCTCAGTAGTCGAGCTACGCGGTCAAGTTACATCAACTTCTCCATGTAGTTTCGCTAGGTTAGCTTGCAAACAAAAACGCTTGCCGCAAACTAGGCAATGAATTGTTAGCGTGTAACTACTGTTTTTAGCTCGCTTACTATATCCCGTTTGTCTCGCAATGGGTGGTCCAAAAGATAATAGAAGAACACTATTACATTTGTATACTATTACTATACACTTGTGTTCTTCTATTATCTTTTGGACCACCCATTGCGAGACAAACGGGATATAGTAAGCGAGTTTCATTTCCGCAATGGATAATATTTTTAACCTTACTGTTTTTAGGCTACACATTGTCATAGTGACGTAACTTGACTGGGAGGCTTGCGTAGGAGCTATGCGACGGATGTTACATTTAGTTCTCCATGCAGTTTCACAGCGTTAACCTGCACGGCTTAGGCGAGAACAGTTGACGCCATTGTGCCATTTAGATATCCTAATACGTATGAATATATGCCATGTTTTTGCAAAAATAAAATGACAAATTACACTTTACATATTTCTAGAATAGCCTAAGGTAAGTTAATGTTGACTGAAGCTTCAGTGATCTAGAATGCAACACTTAGCACACACTAGCATGAAGCATAGTCATTAAAATGGCTTCCTGTTGGAAAAGGAGACAAAAGACCATAGTCAACCAAAAAATAAAAGCTAAGAGTGGTACCCACCATTGTACAAAATGATGTAAGTGCCCAATGAAGGCGAATAAACATTATCAGCCCAGACGTCGAGTTAAAACCTCTCTGTCTCATAGTTTGCCACCCAGCATCTATCACTATATGACACTAAAATTTTAATGTTGGCAGTAAACACTACACACGTGGCGTGACCCCTATATAATGTAAGACAAGAAAAAACGGCTCACCTTAACTTCAAACCTTTATTCGTCCGTGTAGAGCCGAGCTGATAAACCTTTGCTGTCTCTACAACTTCAACAACCTCGGCAATCTGCGAGACAAGTACATTTCTTACATGGCCATGCTATTCATTGTATTCACCATGTCTGCCAGTAAACGCAGACAATTGTAAGCAGGATCACATTCTCAATAATAACATGGTTACCCGGGTCACATATAGCTATAAAAGTCACATTTCTGATGCACGTCGCAATTCACGTATGTAAAAATTATATTATGATATGATCTAATATTTAGAAGGTCTCTGAACCATATATCTCTGCAAAGCTACTACAGATGGCACTGCATACCCTGTACACAGGTCTTCCATTGTTGTTACCGATGCCTATTCGTACATAGGCTCCCAGCATAATCTTGTTAAAGAAAGGAGCGTGGCACCATCTGTAAAGCACACTGCATGCTAACATCCACATATGCAGGGACGATTAATGACAAAATATAAGAATGCATGCACATAACAAATCTAGCCCACCCATACCCTAATCACAGTCAACAATATAGTTTCCATACATGTGGGTCCCTTGCTAGCATTTCGGCATTGGAAAATGCGGCAAAGTGAAATATACGCACGCAGGAACATGATATAGTACAAGAAACTCACTTCTCGATTTTGTGCCGTGAGATTCTGATTGGCAACAGCTCTTCCTTGCAACTGACAGGAACCGTTTTCTTGGGCTTTCTGGTTTCTTCCGTTGATGAGCTGGAATTAAAAAGAATACAGAAATTGACATCTCGAGACCAAAACAATGGAAAAACAACCAATGCCGGAAGTTGGCTCCATAAAAACATGGTTTTCCATCGAACCTAACACAATCTATGCCACAAGAAAGGCAGGTCATTATTTCACCCCCCCCCCCACACACAATTTTCGGGCTATGCAGCAGCCTGGGTCCAGCGTGATCACTGTCGACGCCCGACAGCTATTCACTACCTTCCCGCTCTCCGGACGCCGCAAACAGCCCAGCTAGAGCGTCCGCTCACTTACTGTGTACGCCATATTTTTCGTGTACAGACATTTTCGCGAATTCAGACTTGACGGACAATTTCGCGAGTGGTTCATTTCGCGGTCGGTGAATTACGAATTATTTGGTATTATTCGGTACGAATTATTCGCGTGTTGTTATTTTTGTGGTCGGGGATGCGTTCGCGAAATTCGCGAAAATTAAACCACCGCAAAATATACAGCGTATACAGTAGCCGCAAACAGCCGGGGCAAACTTACTCGTCGCTGTCGCTGTCACTGTCAGACGAGCGCTCCTTCGACTCGGACCCCGACGTCTCGGCCACCGCACTTTTCTTCTTCTCCGCCTCCTCTTCCGAGGACGAGGAACTCGCCGACGACTCGTCGTCCGAGTATATGTCGCTGGCCTTCAGCGGAGCCTTCTTAGCCTGCTGCTCGGCTGCAAGATGCCGCGTAACCGATAAACTAATGTGAATAATTCTCAATTTCATACCAAAAGGAATAGTACTACACAGCTGTACATATTGTTGTATTGTGATTGAGAATACATTGAATTAAGAATTTGTTAGATCATAACGTATATCAATGATCAATTGCGTAAATCCAAATTTAGCCTCGACGAACTTTATTACACAGCACAAGATTTCTGACAGGGCTAAACACCACCTGCTACCCCACCCTACCCACCCCACCACCACCACCCCTATCCACCCACCCACCCACCCACCTACCACCACCACCACCACCACCCACCCACCCACCCACCACCTACCACCACCCACCCCACCCACCCACGACACCACCACCCACCCACCACCACCTACCACCACCACCACCCACTCCACCCACCCCACCCCACCCCACCCACCACCACCACCACCACCACCACCACCCCACCCTGCCCCCTCATCGTGATAGCAGCCCACGTCGCTAGCCCGCTGGGGGCGATCTCGCTACGCGCTCACCTTCCTGCTCCTTCTTCTTCTCGCGTTTAGCTTTCAGCGCCTGGAAGGCCTGCTGCTTCGTGTCCTGTTTGCGATTCTCCTCGACGGTCTTGCGTCGCTCCGTGCTGCGGGACAGCAGCGGCGTGACGGAGGAGGCGGCTGCCGGAGGCGGCTTCGGCTTCTCCGGCTCCTTCTTCTTCACCTTCCGCTTCTGCTCCTTCTTCTTCGCTTGCCGCAGCTTCTTCTCGATTTCAAACCTGCAACGGGAGAGGTGAGCATTGTGCAAGGTTCAGAGAGGTACAGCATACAGAAGGAGCAGAGGCGAGACGTAAGGCTTGTCTTGGGAGGAAGTGGGACGTGAGACCTATCTTTGGGGAAGCGAGGGATAATATGGATCGCGAGAGTTGGTGAGACTTAAGATGTATCATGGTAGGTGGTGGAAAATGAGGCACATCTCGTCATTCTGTGACGGTGGAAAACTTTACACGATCGTTCAGCATGCATACATCCATCCTTGTTACACTTAATTAATTCTGGCAAGAACACGTGGAATACCGAAGAACTACTCTTGCCGAAACTAAATTAAAAATGACGGCGACTCCACGCCAACATCACGTTGCATTTTCACGATCACGGATTAAATCATGGATTAACATCGTAGACATAATCACAGAGGCCACCTACCTCGTCTTGAGCACTTCTCGCTTCTCTATGCGATTGAACAGCTCCTGCTCCCTCTCCTTCTCCGTCATCTGTTCCAACCTCTCCCGATCCTCATCATCTCCCATCAGGTTCTCGTCGTATCCATCGTGAAATTCCTCCTCCGCTGATGACGCCGACTCGGCAGTCCCGACATCGGAGTCGGACACTTCGCCTACTCGCGCACACGCACAATCACATCAAGTCGTAAACATGACGTAAACTTGTGCTAATAAGCGAGCTTTAGTCGTTTGCGAGCAACAATAAGATAATCTAGTATTCTACTCGGTTCGAGAGTGAACACCTATTCTATATCGTACACAGAGACAGACAATGAGATTTATAGCAGGATGGTAGAGAAGAGATAAAGAGGGATGAGAGATGATAGACACATTAGGTGATTAGGATGCAGAAAAACAGGTACGCTGTCACTGTAAGAGAGAGATATGGATGAATGTAAGTGCAGGGGTAGAAATTAACTTTTGAAAACGGGATTCCAACGGACTCCCTACCCTCAAAAAGAGGGCGACCGCAGCAAAATGATGGCGTCCGCAGTCCGAAGTTCAAAATTAAAGATATTAACAATAACACGTGCTTATTTTGAAGATTCATGTGGTTGCACGTCTGCCAAATTTTCTTTGGACATTTGCTGAAAAAATACGGTAATTCCACGAGGCCGTGCTCTGGAACGAACTAGTTAGTATAGTATGGCAGAATTTTCAGAGAGTCACACGGACTCCTGCATATGTCAAATCAGGGAGTCTGACAGTAAATCAGGGAGTATTTGACTTAATTTCGTCCGTTCGCATTAATTTCGCACCCTGTAAGCGTAGCAATTGCGGTCTAAATATGGCAGTGCCTACCTTCCTCTGGCTCAGAGTCGCTTCTAGCGCCATCACTGACAGCAAACTCTTCATTTTTGCTCTCCGATTGCGAAGTGGATTTTCTGTTCTGTCGTTTCTTTTGTTTTTTCTTGCCGCCTTTTCCATTCACTGTCCACTACAAAGCCAAAATAGATGTATAACAAATATTCTATGGTAGGCTATAATTCATCTATGGAATCCTAACGAGATTTTGTTTCTATACCATTTAACCCTTTACGCAAAGATTTTACCCGTCCAAGCTAAATTTCAATTGGCGACCAACTTAGTACACAGTGTCTCACCCACTTTTTGTCATTCAGGTCGTGTAGAAGATATGAAATATGAACTATGCAAAATAGAACCAGGAGAGAGATGACAACATACATCATCATCACTTTCTGACGTTCCAGATACAGAATCGTCACTTTTCGAGGGTTCAGGATTTGGTTTCCTCTTCTTAGATAAAATCTTCAGATCCTACAACAAAATAAAAAAGGCTATATCACAGGTCTACACTATTAACAGCTAATGTAAAATATAAAGCATATAGCATAATAGTAACATGTATATAAGCTATGTTAAAGTTTGGAACTTTCAATGAAAGCGATTCACAAGATTTAGACAACTTTATTATTAAACAACCGCACTATGTAAACCAACCAAACACCAACGCTATTAAAATAAAGTGAGGTTGCTTATTCTTAACATGTTTTTGTGGGACTACTCAATACAGGTACATCTCAAACAATCCACCTTTGTCTTGGTGTTTAAACTTTGCACACTCGTTTTAATCTGTGTGGTGAGTTGGTGCAAGATCATTCACAGGTGAACTAGTAGACTTGCTTCCACAGAGTACATTTTTTAATATGAATTGGATTTTAGCATTCTTCTAGGAAATGTACCTGATAATGACAGACCTGTGCCTCTGCATAGTATTATCATACTCTAGCCTGATAATCCAATTAGCCGGTTCAATCTTTCAAACAGTCTTCCGGACTGTTCTCATTTTTTTACCATTAAAATATTTACTGGTATTGTTTGCATAAATTGTTAGGAAATTTTAAAGGACACAATCAGAATAATATGACAAGTTTGGTTTATGTTTTTTTTATGTACAATTGCGAATGATTTAACTGCTCACAAAATTACGATTGAATAACGAAATCGTCAAATTGCATCATGTGACTAAGACTTCATGTCGTAAAATATTTTCGTACACATCTTTTCCCATGCCCATCACCTGTTTATGGCTTGCTTAGCAGATACGATAAAGTAAACAGTGGCTATAGTTTTTCATTGGTGGCCAAAAAATACCGTTGGTGGCTCGAGTCTTGGCTCAAACTATAAAATATCCTGAGGGAGGCCTGTATTATAATCTATCATAGGCACATTATGGCAAGTAACTATTCTTACAGAAGACCACGAGGAAAGATGTCAATTGGGCAGTGTCTCGTTGACCTTGCAATTATAGCACATGTGTCAAACAGTAGAGAAAGGCACAACAATTTCTACTACTAGTACTATTGTTGGCAGACATACTGAATGATCGATGATTTTTTATTCCATGTGTTGGTGCTTTTGATAATGCAATAGGACATAAATTATGTAGTAAAAAAATTGCCCATGTTTTTGTTTGCATTCACACATGTTTAGCAGCAACACTTGTGCTGTCCCTTGTGGTGAATGACCATGATCTTCCGATTATAATTTTGTACATGGTACGGGATATTCATTATAACAGTCATTTGATATTTGTTGCCGAGTATTATAAAACAATAACAAGTGCCGCGGAGCGACAGCGCTCATCTAACGTCTACTGCGGTGACTCTGTGGTGGAGTGGTGGGATTCTAG